CTGCCCTTTGTTATGCCACTCATACCAGAATGAGACTCGTTAGCCGAGACCACGGGGTCTGCAACCTGCGGCTCCGTGGCCGCATGCGATGACCTTTTTAAGGACTGCAGTGGCGGCTCTTGAAATTCGAAAAAAAATGTCTCTTCTTGTTATTTTGGAAGACAATGGAAGTTCAGTTTACCATGGAAGTCCAGTTTACCATGGGAGTGCAGTTGACCATAGAAGTCTAGTTTACCATGGAAGTCCAGTTCACCATGGAAGTCCAGTTTACCATGGCAATCCAGTTCACCAAGTGAGTCCAGTTTACCATGGGAGTCCAGTTTACCATGGGCGTCCAGTTTACCATAAAAGTCCAGTTTATCATGGGAGTCCAGTTTACCATGAGAGTCCAGTTCACCATGGGAGTCCAGTTTACCATGGGAGTCCAGTTCACCATGGAAGTCCAGTTCACCATGGAAGTCCAGTTCACCATGGAAGTCCAGTTTACCATGGGAGTTCAGTTCACCATGGAAGTCCAGTTTACCATGGGAGTTCAGTTCACCATGGAAGTCCAGTTCATCATGGAAGTCCAGTTCACCATTGGAGTCCAGTTTACCATGGAAGTCCAGTTCACCATGGAAGTCCAGTTTACCATGGGAGTCCAGTTCACTATGGAAGTCCAGTTTACCATGGAAGTCCAGTTCACCATGGAAGTCTAGCTTACCATGGAAGTCCAGTTCACCATGGAAGTCCAGTTCACCATTAAAGTCCAGTTTACCATGGGAGTCCAGTTTGCCATGGGAGTCTAGTTTACCATGGAAGTCCAGTTTACCATGGAAGTCCAGTTTACCATGGGCAGGGCTTGGCAACCTGCGGCTCTAGAGGACTGTTTGATGACGCTAATCAATTCAGGACCACCGCCGTCTCGTATTCACCACACAGTGCTTTGTGGCTCTTTAAATATTCAGGAGTCGAGGTTGTTGTTTTTTACCGAATTCGAAAAAAAATTCGCTTCTTCTTGTTTTTGGTTGCCGATCCCTGGCCGAGACGTACCACAACAGCAGTTTGCATGCTCCGCGTTTCTCTCCAACTTGGATCAGGGACCTGCAGTGGCGTGCGGGCAGCACGACCACTGACCCACCTCCAGCGATGCCAAAAATGCAACTTACTCAACGTATGACGCTGACATTTATGCATTCCATCATATTCGGCGGTTCATTTTTTATTATATGAGTACTGGCGTTGTCAGTGTGTTTGTTCATTTAAATGTATAGCGCTGTAATCGATTTAGCACGGTAAGACTATTTTTATTTTTTTAAATCCTTTATATTAAGTTCGCTTGCTTGCTTGCTTGCGTGCTTGCGTGCGTGCTTGCGTGCTTGCTTGCTTGCTTACGACCGTGCAAATCTTTCGGTCGTTTTTTAACACACTTCCCGTGATCCAATCGAGCTGATATTTTCCACACAGACTCGTTGTGCGTGACAATACATTTTCGTGCAAATTTTTTTCCAAATGTTACACTGTTTAGGGAAAATTTTTAAAATATTTAATTACCAATTGCTTAATGCTGGCAGACAATCATCTGACCCATATGTGGCAGCCATCTCAAGCCAGAGGACGAGAGGACTCTAGCCGCCACGCATATAAAGGATTTATAGTGAAAAACTTTGTTTTTACGGGTTAATTTTTACCAGGTAAGGCCCACCGGGCTATATGGCTCTTTTTCAGAAGTGATTTCGCCACAAATGATAGCTCAACAAAGTGGCCTATGATCGTGTGGAAATTGATATTAGCCAAAGAACCTAAACGCGTGTTTCTACATGTGGAAGCAAAAACCGGAGGACCCGGAGAAAAATCCACGTGACCACGGGGAGAGCATGCGGGGTCGAACCCACGACCTCCTGTATACCTGGCGAAGTAGTTAACATCTCCTAGCCACCGCAGCGCCCAAGAGGTGGCGCTGTGGTTAGCATCACGTCAGTAGCAAGTGATATTTGAACCGCGATGACCCCTTTCAACAACCCAGTGACCCGTGAGGTGAAGTATGGTCAAATCCCCATGAACAGCACGGGGGGGTGGGGGAGTTTATTCATCCAGCAGTGGATTAGCAATCGGCTGTAAATTATGAATGCGTGTAATGGTTTCTTACCTGCAACTTCGATTAACAATATTAGTGTATTAATTCTAGATTTGAAGCTTTCGTGACTGCAAGGATTCATATTCTTAGGTTTTTTCGGTAAAGTCACGTAGGTAAAAAATAAAAATTAATAAAAGTAAAATAAAATAAAAATCACGACTTTTCGGAGGCAACACAAGCTTCCGTCTTTAGGTGGGACCGTCACAGCACGAGAGCTGTCGTGCTGTGTTAGTGTATTTTACTTTCATAGATTTTCCGATGACAATCTTACACGTTCAGTGCATTGCAATCAGACTCCAACTGAAAGTTCGCGACCCCCCTCCCCCCGCCATGGATAGCTAACATATTCCCCTCCGTATAGCGACGTAACGTCAAATTCTGGGCTGCTGTGTGCTTCATGACTTTCGTATGGCTGCTGATGTAGATGCTGAGTAACAACAACAACTTCACATGCAGGTGGTCAATCCCAGACAAATCGCATCAGGAGCAGCGGAGTGTATCGCTGTGATGTCTCCGTATTTCTGGTGTACGCTGCTAGGTGTTGGGAGAGTTCAGAATAAAAGTGTCTTTACGCGATGACCCCAAACAGCGTCGTGTTATTGACACCAATCGGACCGTAATTTCTTCAAACTCCAGCTCGTGGGTATGCAAGCCGACAGAGGCCCCCATTAACAGGCAAAAACAACAAAAAAGGCAACAACAACAACAACAACAGTCGCGTTTGTCCAAAACCCACCCAAACGATGACAAACGATGAATGCGGTGCATTCACGCACGACCGCGTCGTGGATAAGTTGGTTGCAATTTAGAAATTAAAATAATTACTTCAACATGAAATGATGCAGCAAGGTTAGATTTAAATCATTGTAATTGTGTGTTTTTTTCCACCCGTCACCATGGCTCTATTGCGCACAGGTATGGCAGGTGGTCTAATGGATCCAAGGTCTGAATTAAAACAGTTGCACCAACCTAATGCCCATTTTTAAATCCGACAGTATCATCCAGGAGGTTTTTTCGTGTTCGATCGCGTAAATATAAGTGTGCCGGTAAACCCGCCACAACCTGACACAGCCTAGAAGTGAGGTTTGTCACGTTAACAAAACGTGCTAATCTTCTTGGTTCTTTCGGTAAAGTCATGTAGAAGGGAAGTAATAAAATAATACAAATAAAACATAATAAAATAATTCTCACGACGTTTCTTTTTATTCTTCACCTGAGGACGGCTGCTTACGTTGTGGCTGAAACGTCGTGAGAATTATTTTATTACGTTTTATTTGTATTATTTTATTACTTCCCTTCTACGTGACTTTACCGAAAGAACTAAGAAGATGAATCCCTGCAGTCACGAAAGCTTTAAATCGAAAAACGTGCTAATTCATTACAAGTACAGTACACCGGTGTGTTGGAGAGTAAACCCACAACATTTACAATTCGCGTAACCGTGACGTTTAGCCGGTAATCGCAACCAGCCTCATCAGACGACAGCCAGAAATCTGTCTGCTACCCGATTTCTATTTACACGATCTAACCCAAAAAAAAACTCTATCATGGATAATATTGATCGCAAAAGCGTACGTGTTAAACTTTGTGCCATTGCATGTTTGCGACATCGATGGCTATACTTAATAAGTGAACAAGTATAACCCGTAAAAACAAAGTTTTTCACTATAAATCCTTTATATGCGTGGCGGCTAGAGTCCTCTCGTCCTCTGGCTTGAGATGGCTGCCACCTATGGGTCAGATGATTGCATTGCACCATTAAGCAATTGGTAATTAAATATATTTTTGTCCTAAAAAGTGTAAAATTTTGGAAAAGTTTTTTTCACGAAAAGAAATTGTCACGCACAACGAGTCTGTGTGCAAAATGTCAGCTCGATTGGATCACGGGAAGTGGGTTAAAAAACGACCGAAAGATTTGCACGGTCGTAAGCAAGCAAGCAAGCAAACTTAATATAAGTATAACCCGTAAAAACAAAGTTTTTCACTATAAATCCTTTACATGCGTGGCAGCGAACTTAATATAAAGGATTTAAAAATATATTCGCCTGTGGAGGACGCGGGGATCGATCCCGCGACCTTTGGCATGGGAAGCGAGGGCGCTACCAACTGCGCTACTCCGCCACGGCCTGTGGAGGGGTTACGCTCTGGGCTCTTATACTGTGACGTTCAGCCAAAGCCAAGAATGAGTTATATTTGAATATATGTAAAATACAAAAAATTTGCCTAAAAAGTGTAAAATTTTGGGAATTTTTTTTCACGAACATTAATTGTCTGGCACAACGAGTCTGTGTGGAAAATGTCAGCTCGATTGGATCACGGGAAGTGGGTTAAAAAACGACCGAAAGATTTGCACGGTCGTAAGCAAGCACGCAAGCAAGCACGTGAACTTAATATAAAGGATTTAATAAAGGATTCAAAAAGTGTCAAGATTTTACTGCACGATTAATGTTTCCTTCTCAACCTCGCCACCAATCAATCGTACGACCACGCCTATTTCAATTGGAGCTTGTGGTAGCGCTGAATAGCAGCGCATTACATTGGGAGTAAAATACAAATGTAAGTTGTAGTTTTTGTTCTGCAGTTTTGGGTTTATTGACAAAATAACTTCACGTAAACTATGCATAACTGTGTGCAAGTTCACTCACGTTCAGACACTCAGTTCATTCTCAAGTGGAACGTGCTGTGCATGTTCTAGGATGCATCGAACATAGCGCAACCGTCTGTTTTGACTTCAGATAAGTCCCTGAACTCGTTGTTGTGATGTTGCGATGTTGCACAAAAAAGACTGTGTCGGTTGTTTTCAATACAGAACCAGATGAGAAATTCCGTGTAATAAAACCTTCTTGCTGGCATTTTCCTGTAGAAAACACATCATTATCAAAGGCACCAGTCATCGTTTAATGGTATCATCAGTGGTTTCACAATTACCTGGAAGAGGATCCAGAAACAGAATTAAAAAAAAAACAATTACTCCGATTGATTAATCGTAACTGCATGCAGAAATAATATTCTTAAAAATGTTATTTAAAAAATAAATTGAGAAATGCCATCGCGTTCGCAATGAGGCAGTTGAACTTCTCTGCAAATGGCATAACTTTCACCGATGTTAGGTTTTAACATTGTATAAGCACATACCCAGCCAATACTGTTCCCATCCATGTATTCAAGGTGAAAGACATTAACGTACCACACCACGCCATCGTGTAACAATGCAGGGGTTTAATGTCATTTGGCAGTCAGCCCATCAGGCATGCAGTTCTGACATGATATCGTAATTTAGCAGTCTTCCCTGCATGTCAATTCTAAACTTTAAAAGCCAAAAGCAGTGCCCTTTAAAGACACGCTCCTGCCGAATACCGTAGGTACACTGAATGCGGTCGCTAAAGATTGCGCGCCCGAATCATCAAAGCCCCTTTTTCAACAAAAGGAAGCATGTAAAATGGACGGCAGAAGCAAGAGCTACAAATGACCGTTAAAATATTAATTATTAATGAGAACGCTACAGGCATTTACCCTGCCATTAACAAAAAATACCCATTAACTCACGATGGTTAAACCCCAAAGGGATTGTCCTTCCCTTCTGAGCTGCATTAACATTTAGATACAGCCATAACTTGTACATGGGCCGGGAATTGCGGTGCAATATATTAACGGTAAATATTCACATTCAAAAGCGGTTACACATTGTTTTTAAACTCTCAAAACAGGCACAAACACAGCCCACGCGACGGAGAACAGCTTCTGGCGATGTGTGTGGCGCGCGAGACGTGTCAAAAGACGAAACGCAACCATTCATTTAGCGGCAACGCATGCGCTCCAATTTGATCGCAAACACACAAGTGGCATCGGGAGGGCAAAGTGACATGAGGCCCTCATCTCCGCGGGCGGGTAGAGACGAGTTTCACAGAACGAGACCCTGAGGGCTGAGCACAAAGTTCCACGGCAGTCCGGTCCCACGACGCGTCTCGTGGCTTCTCCGTCGGCAGGGGAGGGGTTTCCGTAAAACCCCGCGAAGCTCCACAGCGCAACGGGCATCCGTAGCACATCGGCGACAGAAAACAACAAGAAACGGAAGGAGGAGAGACGGAGGGGGAGGGTGGAAATCAAAAAAGTGGCAAGTGCAAGGAGAAACTTTGCTCTTTGGTTTCGGTCGGTTTCGTTCCCTTCCCGTCCCGAGTTGTCCGGTGTCGAGGATGTAATCCACCACGTGAGTGCGCGCGCGACGCGCAAGCGGCCGGCTTTCAGTCGAGCTCCGTCAATCCACACGGCCGCCGGAATTCTTGTCCCCTCTCGTGCAGCCACTTGTTGGCGACTGTCGCGGGGAGAGAGGAGGAGACGTCACAAAAGGCGAGGCTCTACAGGAATCACGCGAAAACCAACGTATGGCTGCGACGTGATGGCGCGGCAGTGTCGCGGCGTGGCGCGTGCAGGCGGTGCGGGAGACTCACCCCACTTGCTGCCCACGAGCACAGGACAGGCGGCGTGCCGCGTGTCGTAGTCGCCCTCGCCGCTCGCGAGCATGTTGTGCCAGAACACGGCCGAGCCCTGTGCGAGCCCAGGGAGGGAGCCCAACAAGCAGCCACAGTCACAGCCGGCACCACAACCACAGCCACCAGAACCAAACACCATAACCACAGCAACCACCACAACCACAGCCACCAGAACCAGACACAGCACCACAACCACAGCCACCAGAACCAACACCATAACCACAGGCACCACCACAACCACAGCCACCAGAACCAGTCAGCACCACAACCACAGCAAGCACAACCGAAGGCAGCACAGCCACAACGAGCACCACAGCCCACCACAACAACATCCAGCACCGCAGCCACAGATAACACCACAACCACAGTCAGCACCACCACAACCAGAACAATCACCACCATCACCATCATCATTAAAGCACCATTTCCAGCTGCATCATCGCCAACAGCATCACCAGCACCAGCACCAAAGCCACCGTAGTACCCATCAACCACAACCATCACCAGCACAATGAAATCCACCATCGGCACCACAACCACCATCAACGTGTGAACAACAACAACAACAAAAAACACACAAACAAGCACAGTGTTAATAACCAAGACGACAACACGAAGAGCTACACGAGATCTGTGACTAAATCTATGGACGCGTTCCTATTCCCGTGTGCTCCCAACAAGCGTGCCTGGTACAGTCCACAAAGTACAAGCTCGTTGCAACAACAACAAAAAAACCACGCTCGGTCAGGCTTTACAATAGTGTCACCAACGCTTGCGGGCGATCGAGCCTGCGCGGGGAGCCAGGGGGAGGAAGCGCGCACAGCTGGGAGCGGAAGATGGAAATAGATGCACGAGCCAGCGAGGACAGGGGCAGGTTACATAATCCCTGCGCGAACTGACAAGGTAGCTGCTGCTGCTTGCGCGACGGTGACGCATGAAGCAGAGGTTGCAAACGGGTTTTGATTCCTTACCCGTACCCGTACCCAACTGCACCAGGGTCGCAAATGGGTACCCATACCCTACCCGAAATGAGTGACAAACGGTGACTCACCAGTGACTCACGGCCTACCCGGCTACCTATACCCGGCCGCACCAGGGTCGCAAACGGCTACCCGTACCCGGCCGGGTACGGGTAGCCGGGTATCGGGTAGGGTACGGGTATCGGGTACCCGGTTGCGACCTCTGGCATGAAGTAGTTGAAGTAGTCGCAACCCCAACTTACTCGTACAAAACACAATTGTAAATAATCCAAGTGTCATTCAACCCCTGAAGATGCCCGCACAAGGTAGGTAGCACTGGGTAACAGCTTGAGAGAATGAATTCATCAGAATACAAATGTTTATTTAGACTGCAGGAATCCGATGAGCTATGAAGCTATTTTTCCCAGACATCCAGTAAATGCTCCACGCACAACCCCAAACCATAAACAACAACAACAACAAAAACGCATACTTCGGATTGCAAGCGGCCATGAAAACGTAGGGCGTAAAATTTAAACGACTCCCCACCTTTTTGGGCAAAACCGTCGCCCCAACTCCTGGAAAGACGGTCGCTCCGCCAGCTGCCACTTCGCTCATCTGTGCAGGCGACAGGGAAATGGGACCTCATCAGGCGCCAGCATCGACGAGCGCGGAGAGTCGAACACAGCCCCGACTTGCGTTTCATACAACAACTAAGTTCACTGCTGCCATTTGCCATCTGCTGAATCGCACGTTGCGGCAATAAACACAAGCGGTGTTTGACCCTCTTGTACGAATTGTTCGTATGTATGTTGAACTTCTTTCGCACCGCACGGAGCCAACCGTGCTGGTCGGAGGTGCGGGGGAAGGACAACAAACTAAACACAAAAATCAGTTCTAAAGAAATGAGTTTTCAACCTAGATTTTAAAAAGTGCATAGCTCCCAGCGGCTTCTGAATATCAGAAGAGCGTTCCAGACGACCGCAGAAGCCTAACTGAAAGCGCGCGATGCAGTGACCGTCTTTGTTCGATTGCTTGGTAAAAGCCGTTGCGAGGAGTTTGCCTGATGGTTCTTCACAATAAAGAGTGCGTGTATACAGCGCCTAGATGCAACAACATCTCAAGAAACAGTAAAATAATGTCGCGCGTTAAAATGAGGTCGTGTGGAAAGAAGAGGCTATTTCATTTTGATTGCAAGAGGGAAGCTAAGGGATGAGAGTCTGTGGCAGTGCCGGTGTTACTCCACCTACTGGTTCGAAAGGGGCTAACTTCCACCGTAAGCACCTTGATCACTGATACACGTTTTAAAAGTAGTCTTCTCTTTGGGCTTTTTTTTATTAACTACAGCTCAAGACACACGAAATTGACTTTCGTAGTTTTAATCAGACGACTTTTATAACGATAGTAAATTATTTCTAACTCATGCACATTTTGATTGAAAGCTTTCGTGACTGCAGGGATTCATATTCTTGGTTCTTTCGGTAAAGTTATTTCCCTTCTACGTGACTTTACCGAAAGAACCAAGAATATCATGCATACTTCATAAATCAAACATGTTATTCAATCAAGATCTCGGAGGCGCTGAACCAAAACTTAAAGTCCCCCATACCTAAGCCAGAATGGGTCAGAGCCTGAACTGGTGAGAGCCAGAATGGGTCACAGCCTGAACTGGTGAGAGCCAGAACTGCTTATTGCCTGAACAGGTGAGAGTCTGAACAGCTGAGCGGCTGAACAGGTGAGAGCATTGCACAGGTGGTAGCCGTGAGCTGACGATGGTGATTGGATGCTGCTGCTGCTGCGTGTGTGTGCAGTGGGGTAGAGTGTTCCAGGCAGCTCGTGTATCGACGGAGAAATTTCGCTCAGCCAAGGACAGTCCTGGCTCTGGGTACAATGGGCAGACTATGTAGACGGCGATTTCCTGTGGTCAGCGGAATGAGAAATTGACGAAATTTGCTCAACGAAGGCACCCAAGAGTAACGCTCTAAGGCGGTCTAACATACAAACAAAAACAATGAGAATGTGGAAAGCGGTGAAAGCGACCCCGTGACAAACACCGCGGATTAAATCAACATTCCAGTCGATTTAAACAAGAGCCGGCCGGGTAATGCCAGCCCTGTGGGAAGTCCACGGGAAGCGTCCCCATGGGTCTAAGCAAACACCGCCCCCCCCCCCCCCCATCAATTAGAGCGAGGCCGGGAACCCTGAAGAGGAATGTGGCTGCAAGGTGAGACCCCCCCAACCCGTCTCGTGCAAGCCGACGGAGTCTCCCATCCAATTTGCCCCATGACAGACACCACGGGGCAAACATTCAGGCGGTGCATTCTGGACATTTGGCGATGGTCATAAATGACATCACGCGATTTTTTACGATTTTTGACCCCCCCCCCTCTCCCCCCCTTGTCACACGGCGTCACAAAAAGTCAGACCCCCCCCCCCTCAAATATGACGTCACAAAGCTCTGCCCCCCCTCCCCCCAAAACCATAGTTACATTTTGAAAATAAAACATGCTTCGAATCGCTTTAAACTATTGTCATTGTAGTGCGTATTTAATGTGGCGCTGCACTCTGATGTTGTAGGAGAAAACATTTGTTAAAAAGTCTATTTAATTAAGTAGAACGCATTTTTATTAAAAAGTATAGTTAATTAAGTAGAACGTATTCTTGGTTCTTTCGGTAAAGTCACGTAGAAGGGAAATAATTAAATATAAAACAATTTTTTTTGTATGAGGACGGCTGCTTGCGTTGTGGCCGAAACGTCATGAGAATTATTTTAATTATGTTTTATTTTTATTATTTTATTACTTCCCTTCTACGTGACTTTACCGAAAGAACCAAGAATATGAATCCCTGCAGTCACGAAAGCTTTACATCAAAATTTAAGTAGAACGTGTTGTCTATATTTATTTAAAGTTGCGCATTTTGATGTGAAGTCACATTTCTCAACCCTCCCCCCCCTCGTCACACATCGTCACAAATGTATGACCTCCCCCCAGGTGCGTGACGTCATTTATGGACGGACCCTTTGGCGATGGTCATAAACTTCAACCACCGTGCAGCCCCTTTCGTCAACCCACTGTTGGTGGATAAGGCCCCCCTCTGACGTCATGTAGGTCATGGGGGTTGACAACTTTACTTTATCTTCTTGGTTATTTCGGTAAAGTCACGTAGAAGGGAAGTAATAAAATAATAAAAATAAAACATAATAAAATAATATAATAATATAACTTTACTTTAGTACGCCGCTCGGGTCGGTTTATTAGGAAGTCGCCGGATCTGTGCACTTTAAAATCTCGACTGAAAACTCATTTCTGTAAAAAAAAAACTGCTTTTTTGTGTTAAGTTTGTTGTCCTTCCCCCGCACCTCCGATTGGCGCGTTTGGCTACGTACGGTACGAAAGAAGTTCAACATACATATACGGTGGAGCGCAAGACGCTGGGAGCATGGTATAGTACAATAGGTGATTTGAAGCTTTCGTGACTGCAGGAATTACTCTTTGGTTCTTTCGGTAAAGTCACGTAGAAAGAAAATAAATTAAATAATGAGAACGACGTTTCGATTGCAACACAAGCAAATGTCATCAGGTAGAACTAAATTTGAGAGAGAGAGACGAAACACAGAGACACACAGAGAGAAACACACACAACATAGACACACAGAGACCCAACGCCTCTGTGTCGAGGCCTTAAATAGAGAGAGGGGGTGGGGTGGACAGAGAGAGAGAGGTGGGTCTGCTGGGGCAGCTACTGGAGCAGAGAAATTAGCATGTCAATGTGTGTCTGTCTGTGTGTCAATGTTGTCTCTCTCTGCTTGTGTGTCTGTCTGTGTGTCTCCGTGTCTGTGTTTTGTCTCTCTGTGTGTGTCTCTGTGTTGTCTCTCTATGCTTGTGTGTCTGTGTCTCTGTCTGTGTTTTGTCTCTCTCTCAAATTTAGTTCTACCTGATGACGGTTGCTTGTGTTGCAATTGAAACGTCGTACTCTATTATTTAATGTATTTTTTTTCTCGGTGACTTTACCGAAATAGCCAAAGAGTCGTGCAATAGATGTTGGAGGCACTGCCCTCTGCTGACAGCACAGCCCCGCAGCAGGCTACACATCACCAGGTTGATGAGTGGGGGCGCCCATCCGAGCACTATCCAGTGCTGATGTGTAAACTTTCAGTCCCTCCAGAAAAACGCGGAGTTTTTTGGTAATTGTTGCGGGCAAAAATCGTTGATTATGCGGCACGTTTTCTTAAAAAATGCGATGGAATATGCGGGATATTTATGCAATTTTATGCGATTAAATTGCGGGAGCTTGCAAAAATTGCGGTTTGATGAAAAAGAGAAAAAAAAGTGATTCCCCCAACACCCTATTCACTAGACTACTACTTTAATGTAAAGAGTAATTTCTTATTACTTCCTATGATAAGCAAGCATACTACATCACAGAAAGTGCTGGGAATATTTAAGTTCTCATCTTGTTTTATTTCAGACCTTAACAAACAGATGGCTCAAACTTACAAAACATTGAGTCGAACAAGTTCTATAGCTTTACAAAATGAATATGCTACAACTTCTGTAAAAATTAATAAATAAAATATTAAAAAATAAAATGTGTGCTTCCTGTTTTACAGAGGAAGCTATACAAAACAGACAACTTCTGTTAAAATAAGTGTTTTCAGTGCACAGTAACGTAAGCAATACAGTAACAGTACAGTCTTACAGTAATGTAAATTTACATACTACTAACAAAAAAGTGCAATCTTTCAACTGTAAAGTTGCATAAACTCCTGAATAAAACTAACTACGTAGCCTCTAACACTTCATAACGTTCCCATGGCAACAGGGGAAATGGCTGCGCTTGTGTGAAGTAAACGCAACATTTTTCAACTTTCTGCTAAGATATATGTGACTTTTTGCAACGAAAATGCGGGGATTATGAAATCATGCAAGCCCGCATATTTTGCGCGCGGAAATCTGCAATTTATGCGGCGAAAGTGCGGCGTATTTGAAAAAACGCGCCCCCCGCATAAATATGCGGACTTTGGCTGATTTTGCGTGGAATCTTGCGATCGCATAATCGCGTTTTTCTGGAGGGACTGGTAAACATGATGTGCAAACTTCAGCACTGGGGAGACAAAGGTGGCCGGGCGTGGTACTGGGCACACCACACTCCACTGTGCGCTACGCCGGCCTTCATAGTTGCTCGCTTATAGCACTTGCCCCTACAGAGTGTTCAAGGCTACCTGGGGATCTTTGCCTTTGTGTGCGGAAAACAGTGGCATTTTGGTTTACACACCGCCCTACGATCCTGGCAATCTGAGTTTGAGTCTTGGTCACAATCTACATGATCTGACAGTTTTTTCGATTTAAAGCTTTCGTGACTACAGGGATTCATCTTCTTGGTTCTTTCGGTAAAGTCACGTAGAAGGAAAATAATAAAATAATAAAAATAAAACATAATAAAATTATTCTCACGACGTTTCGGCCAGAACGCAAGCAGCCGTCCTCAGGTGAAGAATAAAAATAAAACATAATAAAATAAAGCAGCTGCTTGCGTTGTGGCAGAAACGTCGTGAGAATTATTTTATTATGTTTTATTTTTATTATTTTATTACTTCCCTTCTACGTGACTTTACCGAAAGAACCAAGAAGATGATCTGACAGTGTTCTTAAAATAAAAAATACATGTTGCGGTGCATAAATATTAATAATGGGTGGGATAAAAATGCACAGGTGCTTGGTTACAGCACTTGCCCCAACAGTCTATGCGGTATACGCAATGGGAGTATGCATGCGGGAGTGTGCTTGTGTGTACGGGGGATCTTTGTCTTTGATTGCTTGTGTGCAAGCTGAGGACAAGGGGATTCGTTTGGGAAGACATCAAATGAAATGTCACAGGAGCAGTAATAATAATAGTAATGACTGCACGCCTAGGTCTGTTAATTCAAGGGTTTTAGTGTTGTCAATAATCGCATTAATAAACAATACAAATTATTATCGGTTTTGTGGGAAGGCATCAAACAATATAAAGGTGTAGCCTCATGCCTGTGTGTGTGTCTCTCTCTGGTATGAGGAGCGGTAGTGTAGCGGTGAGCGCACTGCACTACGGACCTGGAGACCAGAGTTGGATTACCGCTCACGACCAATAACAGCGGAGAATATTTAAACCGGTCCTGGGCCTACCCTCAGCCTCAAATGAGTACCTGGTGCATTGCATAAACATCAGCACCGGGGAGACAAAGGCGGCCGGGCACGGTGTTGGCCACCCACCCTCGTGTGCCAGGGATCTGTATTTTGTCTTTGCTATACCGTATGGACACATACGGTATGTAGGATGGACACAACTTCAGGAAAATTAAAAGTGTGTGGTTTGGAAAAATGGACGGAGCCGGAAAGAGTTGAAGACCTAACAGAGAATGGCTTGAGGACGACATCACAAGAGATTGGTGCCAGAAAGACTTGGGCCACTACCTGAGCATACTGGCACAAGACAGAGGAAAGTGAAAACAACAAATGACGACATTCTTTGGTTTTTTCGGTAAAGTCACGTATAAAAATAAAATAATAAATTATTTTATTTTTATACGTGACTTTACCGAAAAAACCAAAGAATAATTCCTGCAGTCACGAAAGCTCCAAAATTAAAAATGACGACATGTGCAGGAGACACCTATGGGCTCTCTGCCCGCGGATCGCGACGACGATGATGATGTTATAACCGTACCGCACGGTGACTGATGTGCTCGTTGATGAATGCCGCTGACCAATCACATTCAAACAAGCCATGCGATTTGAACGTCGTGATTGCCACTTGCTTCAATCCGAACGAATTCTTGAACTAGATTTGATTATCGATTTAAAAACTTCAGCAATCAATAATCGATTCCAAAAAATAAATCAAAAATGTGTTGACAACCATAGTCAGGCGGAGACTGACTATGGTTGTGAGATACCTAGTTGCAAGGCCTGTTGGAGGCAGTACAGCAAGTAGGCATCTGATTCTACAGGCAAAAACACATCTAAAAGAAATCGGCAAACACCCTAATTCAGGGCCCTTGCGAAAATGTATCTTGAGGCTCAGTGAGACTTTCCTGGGTAAACAAAAATACGATTGTATACTCACATAGATCAGGAACGTAGCCACCCTGTTTCCTTTCCCATCATAGCTAGCGTCCTGGATTCTCTGTAAAATCAAGAGCACACGTCACAATAATTTAGAATAATTTCAACTTGTAACGCAGCGCACAGCATTGGCTCACTCTCGTAGAGAGACAGAGAGATCGACCCGGAGGCACCGAGGATGTTCCACAGACAAGCGGGAAGGCAGCCACACGACAAGTCGACGTCAACAATTGCCCAAGCTCTGCATTCCTCTCTATATTAAGGTGTTATCGGTCAATAAGTGCTTAAAATCTCAGCGCTTTACCCGAACCTACGTACAGCTTTTACAATGTGATGATATTTTTGCACACTGCACGCACACAACGGATATTATGTAATGATATTAATTCTAGATTTGAAGCTTTAGTGACTGCAAGGATTCATACTCTTAGGTTTTTTCGGTAAAGTCACAGTAAATGTAGCTGTGACGGTCCCACCTGATGACGGAGACTTGTGTTGCCTCCGAAACGTCGTGATTTATAATTTTATTTCCATTATTATTTCTATTATTTTTATTATTTATTTTTACCTACGTGACTTTACCGAAAAAACCTAAGAGTATGAATCATATTAATTGGCCAGATTGCAGAACAGCAAAAAACATCACTTGAATGTCAACTCGATTACTGTGTAATACTGTGATATGCATTGTCCTTGAGTTGTGCGCCTTTTGGCGTCATCTGGTCCAACACCATGTGAGACTAGGCTCTAATAAAAGCTGTCTCGGGTGTGGACCAATCAATTTCAAGGACAGTGCATACATTATCAGAGTTGTGTTTTTTGTTTGCATTCTGACTGCAGGTATTGTGGTCAATGCAAACATGACTCCTTGTAAAAAAAGGTGTCAGTTGTGTTGCCAGATAAAAGAGTAAACAACCAATTATCATATTTTGCTACTGGCAAAGGAGGTCATGTGATGAGCTAATGTGTTGCACACAATGTGTTATGTGCCCAGTCATGGAGTTGCGTGCTAAACATTGCTGAGCTCATATCGTGTTGGTAATTTGTTTTGGAATTGACAGAATTTTTGCCATTTAATAAAAATCACTGTGGAATGGACATATTTTCAGTGACATTTGGCCAGCTTTTGTGATGCCACAATTTTGCGGTGTCACTATTTTAATTCACGTACGCGCACTACATCTTTGACTTGCTCCTTAACGTCTGCTCATGGAAAACTGTTCATACGTGAATTCAAAACTGTCAGCATTCGTAAAACCTTTCTCTGGGCACGACATTGTAAAGTATGATCTCTCTAATTTGCTATAAAAATAAACAAGTATAACCCGTAAAAAAAAGTTTTTCACTATAAATCCTTTATATGCGTGGCGGCAAGAGTCCTCTCGTCCTCTGGCTTGAGATGGCTGCCACCTATGGGTCAGATGATTGCATTGCACCATTAAGCAATTGGTAATTAAATATAATATTTTTGTCCTAAAAAGTGTAACATTTTGGAAAAAAATTTTCACGAACATTAATTGTCACGCACAACGCGTCTGTGTGGAAAATGTCAGCTCGATTGGATCACGGGAAGTGGGTTAAAAAACGACCGAAAGATTTGCACGGTCGTAAGCAAGCAAGCGAACTTAATATAAAGGATTTAAAAATATATTCGCCTGTGGAGGACGCGGGGATCGATCCCCCGACCTTTGGCATGGGAAGCGAGGGCGCTACCAACTGCGCTACTCCACCATGGCCTGTGGAGGTGTCACGCTCTGGACTCCTACGTTCAGCCAAAGCCATGAATGAGTTCTATTTGAATAAATGTAAAATACATTTTTTTTTGCCTAAAAAGTGTAAAATTTTGGAAACAAATTTTCACGAACATTAATTGTCACGCACAACGAGTCTGTGTGGAAAATGTCAGCTCGATTGGATCACGGGAAGTGGGTTAAAAAACGACCGAAAGATTTGCACGGTCGTAAGCAAGCAAGCGAACTTAATATAAAAGATTTAAAAACCACAAATGACTCACAAAGCAATATTTCCCGCTACTGGCAGACTAACGCCCAAAGCCAGCCAGGCTAGGTGCTGAGGCACCCTAAAGGATACGTGCGCAGAGGCATTTGGTTACGTGGTAGGGCACGAAATAAAAAAACAAGTGAATTCATTCAAATATATAATCAACCTTTCTGCCCCCCCTCTCTATCTCTCTCTATACTCATTGCCTGAAACGCCAGCATAATATGGTTATGTGTACGTTACGAGGGGCAGCCAGTGGCGCATTGGGATATAAGGATGGAATGTGCCTTACAAATGTAGATTATTATTAATTCACATCTGCCCCCAACTACCATCCCTTAACCTTTTCAACATTTGATAATTGGTTTTTTACCCTTCTATCTGGCAACAAAACTGACACCTTTTTTACAAGGAGTCATGTTTGCATAGACCAGAATACCTGCAGCCATAATGCAAACAAAAAACATAACTCTGATAATATATGCACTGTCCTTGAAGTTGATTGGTCCACACCCGAGACAGCTTTCCTTAGAGCCTAGTCTCACATGGTGTTGGACCAGATGACGCCAAAAGGCGCACAACTCAAAGACAATGCACCATCAGAGTATGAGAGCTCGGGGTGAAGCATTTACACCATTGGAACCTCATTTGCCAGTAAAACATTTGCCACTCTGCTCCCCCCTGATCTATCCCCCACAGCCCCTCCCCTCGGTCCCTCTAGCCCCGCCTTTCCCAGTGGAACAGACACAAACAATTCCTCCGTTTTATTTATTTATATATTAATGAGGCAGTGTTAAGGACAAATTTAGTGATTTTTTTTACGTGTGCTTGCAGACCATGGTCTATAGAGTCTCTTAGTAAAAACAAAACAATGAACATGGTTCTTTTTGGATTCCAAATGGAAAACGTATCGGCTGATTAAAGGCAAGCATTACCAAGTTAGTTTGTACAGTAATGATAATTGAATTTAAACGCACAATCAGATTTGCTTTTTAATCATTGCCATCGCATTCATGGACACAACCACAAAGATCCCCCGTGTAGCCTACATAGACAGTTGGGGCAAGTGTTGTTAGCGAGTACCCACGAAGGCCTGTATGGCACGCGAGCGGGTGATATGGCCAGCAGCATCCCTGACCACCTTTGTCTCCCCAGTACTAATATCTACACAGTGCACTGGTTAATTATTTAAGGGCTGAATCGACTTAGGGATTACTCAAAACCGGTTCAGACATCGCTCGCCAATGACATTAGCCAGGGCCAGGAATCGAACTCGAGGCATCGGGTTTGTATCCCAGCGCACTGCACCAATGCTGCCCGTACACACGTAACTCTCGACTCTGGTCCCGAAAATTCTAGATTTGAAGCTTTCGTGACTGCAAGGATTCATATTCTTAGGTTTTTTTCGGTAAAGTCACGTAGGTAAAAACATTAAAATTATGGTCCCGAAATCCAGTCTCTAGTCAAGACTGGATTTGAGAACCGGTCTCAATTCCAGACAATAATCCACGTGCTCACAGTGCTGAGTTGGCATTAACTGAGGCAACAATGTAAAAACTCACCCGTGCAAAGTCGTAGTGCGGCTCGTACTGCCCTCCCATTCCATAATTGGCCACCTGACAACACAGCGAGCCATCGGGGCAGCTTAGTCACCGACACAAACGCACCGAGGCAGCAACAGATCAAGAGGAAATGTCTCAAACGAAAACAACAGAACGAGGGTTAGAAAGGTCAGCTCAGTAATGACCGCAGAGGTCACGGAGGCTGCACGGGGAATATAAAGAGCAACGCGGCAAGGGATCGAGAGATCCCGGGGAAGAAGAGGACTCATCGACGCAGCAAAGAACGAAGGGGACTTAAACGTGGACTAATACCACCAGCGCAGCAAGGGCTGCGAGGTCTGAAGGCCAAACAAAGTGAGTTTACGTCTACACATCGTTTTATTTTTATTATTTCCCTTCTACGTGACTTTACCGAAAGAACCAAGAATGTGAATCCCTGCAGTCACGAAAGCTTTAAATCGAAATTTAACTCTTTGGTTTTTTCGGTAAAGTCACGTAGGTATAAATCGAGATCAAAGGACAAAATTAACCCTGCACAATATTATTTGTTATCTGAAGTCACTTATAAGGTGTGTAAACCTTTCTGGGCAGGGAGTATAAGTGTGGGGTGAGGGGGGGCATGGAGGTGGTGGAAGAGGCAGTTAGTTACCTGCAGCTCCTCCGCAGTTTCCATGCTCAGCCCCGTGGCCGCCCCTATCCTCCGGTTTATCCGAGCAATCGTTTCATTCTCGTCTTCCGACAACCAAGCGCTGCGGGACAAGAAAACCCGCACGCTCGCTTAACCTCCTCCAGAATCAGAACATTGATTCGTACTGGAGGAATTCGATGGGCCATAAATCAATCTTTTTCACGTTACAACAAACAAACAATAACTACGCTTCGACAGAACCGGATCGGTGTTTGGAGGCTGGATAAAGTGGCCGAGGTGTGTTTGTAATAACACTGGTCAACACACTTTTTTTGGCATTCAACGGTTTTAAGGTAATTTTGAGGTGCTGATTCCAAATCTGGCATCAGTTTTTGTCTATCACATCAGGTTTTTGAGATATCAAATATTGCATTTTCAATAAAAACTGCAGAAGAAAATTTTAAATAGATGTGGATATCTACATAAAATGATATTGTAAACACACTATCCTAAAAATACAGCACCATATTTTAACACTAAAGCAGTCACTGACTCGCAACAACTTGCAATCATAAGTGACAGAGCTAATTTCGGGTAAAATCAATGAAAAGGGGGTATGCCGATAGCATAAAAATGAGATATGATAGAGCAAATCTGAGATCAGATTTGGAATTAGTCTAAAACAGCTGCAAAAGTCCAGGCCAGAATTTTTATTTTTTGTTGACCAGTGTAATCAGCCAACTCAGGAGACGGGGTCAGTCTAGCCACCCTCTGATCATGCGTGCGAGATGCCCCCGGCTACACAGGGTGGCAAGGTGGTGCCCGTGGCAGGCAGTGCAGCAGGGAGGTTGCTGATCTATTAGTGTTGAGCTTGAGCGTTCTTTTCTCGTATGCGTGGGCTTTATCCGGACACACACGCAACTTATTCGTACGCTAAAATACTTACAAGTAACTGCATTGGTTAAAGAATCCTACGTAAGATCCTCGTTCAAGTATCTGGAGACTCCGTAAGGCGTTCCTGGGTAAACTACTTTATTGTACGTGCCAAATGAATGGTCAGTTGTTGAATCCATAAGTTAAGGTAAAGAGGTCATGCGTGAATGGACAAATTGAGTTTCAACAAGCAGACTTTATTGGCAATAACAAAAAAACCCAACCCATTTTTTTCAGAAACACTGCCTCGAAAGTAAAAGTAAATGCTAGGCAACAGTTTAGAGCAAACATTTAACTTTACACGCCATGCAGAGGCCATTGCCTGAAGTGTCGCCTGTCATATATATACTTTTAGATTTAAAGCTTTTGTGACTGCAGGGATTCATCTTCTTGGTTCTTTCGGTAAAGTCACGTAGAGGAGACAGACCTGGTCTTCACCTGAGGACGGCTGCTTGCGTTGTGGCCGAAACGTCGTGAGAATTATTTTACGATGTTTTATTTTTACTATTTTATTATTTCCCTTCTACATGACTTTACCGAAAGAACCAAGAAGATATATATACTTTTCGCTTTTAAGTCGACGTTGCTATTGACCGGCGTGTTGAGTTTTTTTTGTTATTTGTGCTTGTGTACCACTGCCAGCACATTATCACCAAAAACTTAATTTTATTGCCGATAGCTCCATCTCCACGGGCAAGGGGATTACCGCAAAGAGTTGACGTGAAGGTTAAGGTCCGGCAACGCCCGTTAGGATGAAGGATTAGGTTTGGGTTGAGATCACAACTCTAGCATTTACCCCATAACTCACCCCCCCTACCTCCCCCATTGTATATAATAAATAAATATCGTTCCATAACTACGGCTTGTGAATTATAAGTCAAAACCCACGAGTTCAATTCGGAGTGATTGTTGGTATGAAGCAATTTTTGTGTTTTAAAAGCAACACATACTTCAAACGACAACGATCTCGTTGTTTATTATACTGAGGAGATGTATTGCCACGAGTTGGCGGTCGTGGCCCTAGTCACGGTGAGAGCAACATGGGTTTGCCCCCATGAATTGCCATCACGCATGGCGCTCGCAACTTTGAGCCGCAGACTGTAGCAGCATTGTGGTATTTTCACAAGGGCTGATTTTATTTAGTCTAAAAACACTGGCCCCGTTTTGGCACGCGCAAACAAAACGTAATCAAGACGTTCTACAGAAACCACAGCAATTCCTACCCCTGCCTTAAAGATGACGTCGCCCGGTTCTGTTTTAATTAGGTCGTTTTTGTTTTTAATTTGTAAATATAAAAAGTTTGTTATTATTTGCCACGATGGAGGCTGGTGGTGGTGGTTGGGGGGGAAGCAGTGATACAGCGGTGAGCACATCCCGCTAAGCGCCTGGCTAGGGGAGTTTAATTCCTCGCTACGTCGAATGTCGCTGTCAATGAACATCTAACCTGGTCCAGGTGCTTCCCATCCGCCAGTCCACACCGACCAGCACGGAGTGAGAGCACGGTGGGCCAACAGCCGTGATCGATAGCGTCGGGGAGTGCATTCATCCAGCAGTGGGTCGACAAAGGGTAGTACTTTTTATTATTACCGGTTAACACATTGCATGTAGCAACCTGACGTTTGCCTAAACTAAAGAAAAAACAATGCTGGGTAGCACTCAAAAAAGATTACCAGATTCCTGCATTGCTAATCATGCACGACGACTACGTGTATATATTTTGCAATCCTTGATCATTATTTCAATTAAGCAATGCAATTTGGAACGCCTGAAGTGCATGTTTTGTTTCAAGTGAGAGCCCATTGAGAATCACCACATCCCTTGAAAGGGAAGACCGTTATGAGTTCAAGCATTTGTGTAAAAAGTAGGGTTTTTTTTCGCGATTCATGCAAGCAACTCGCCGGAAAATGCGGCTAATTTTCAGGTCAGGATTCGGGTCGCGACACCAACGGCACAACAACGCCCCAAACGTGCGAACCATCACGTCGCAGGATCTTCAAAGCCAATTTTGGGATATTCCCCAAACAGGGAGCCATTACCGCGGGCGTTGAGCAACAAAATCCTCGCAAAATGTCGAGTCCATCAATTCCCACGTGTTCCGTCACCCACCTTTTGCTGATTCGATTGTTCGTTGTTCTCAGCTCCCCCGTGATTGGGTGGAAGACTGTCGCTCGACTGAGCTGCGGGAACAGCAACCAATCAGAAGCCGTCCCCAGCAACTCCCCCCCCCAACCCACCTCTACCTGACACCCCTCCCTCGTTCCTGTCGCCAGGATGACACCAATCACAAATCGGCAACCTCAGCTGCTGCCCTCCTGTCTCGTGTCACTCCCTTGCCTCCCTGCCCACCTCCCACAAGTGCCCCCTGATTCCAGGCCCACCACTTCATTTCTCAGATACTGATCGGTAAAGTTATTTGCTTCTCTATTTCTCTCCACCGAGATCAAACGGGTTGAGCCTCAGCGGAACGGGGATGCATTACGCGGTCATCGGAAAGAAAAAGAGGGATTTTTCAAGTTTGTTACTTGAAAAAAAAAATTTTAATTTGAAAAAATAAATTAGACGTTTGAAACGAAAACAACACGACTAAAATGCCACATTGGTGCCGTTTAAAATATTTTAAGTGACGCGCAATACATTTGTTTTCTTGAAGAATTAAGATCATTACGTTAATCTGTTGTTATTTTTGGAATTGCTCAGACCTATTATTACCTGAATAGCCTCGAATTACTGTTTGCAATGTTTTTGTTCCTCGTGGTTTCTTGTTGTGTAATTACGATCCCATTTCCTGTGTTTAATCCCAGGTCTCCCTTGAAAGAGAGACGTATAATCTCAATGGGCTCTCACCCTCCTCATAAACATCAGCCATAACTCTTAAAATAATACAGCTCGTTGTGAAAGTGGTGGCAAAGACTGACTGAAAAACCAAGAACTATTGAAAGCACCACAACACCAAGTGACATTATTAACAGGACATCGCCACTAAACCTGCTTTGCTACGTTCAAAGCAAAGCAGGAAAAGCGTGATTAATTTTGTCACGATGTATGAAACGACTACATATCACCTGTCATTAGCATCAAGGGGATTGTGGGAGGCGGGCGAAGCCAGCGATGAATTGCTGTGGAGGGTGGTGGCCCTGAAAATTTTGGTTCGACGGGAAGAGAGGGTGGCGGCCGGGATTGAGGTAGCAAAAGGGGGAATGGGGGGGGGGGGCTTACCGTGACCTCCAGCTTACCTCTTGCTCACCCGGTATCCGGCTGTCTCTAGCTGCCCACTCAGTGGGTTCCTCACTGTGGCCCTCTTCAGCTGTCCGTCACGGACAGGGCCGAGGAGAGAAGAGCAGCAAGCGGTGGCGGCAAGGAGGGGAAGCGATGGGGAGAGGCGATGCATCAAAGAGGCGCGGCCATGTCGAAGTGGTGGTGGTGGGGGGGGGGGTAAGGAGGGATTGTGACACGAATTGTCGACATGCACACACAGTTAGTACCAGACCACTCGGTCGTCTGCAGATGAAGAACACTCTATAGACCAGGGTTCGGCAACCTCTTTAAGGACTGCCACGTGACCGTTGTTTATAGAGGACCCACCGTCCCGTATTCACAGCCACAGTGCATTGCGGCTTTTCAAATATTGGCTGTTGTGTTTTTTTGCAGAATGAAAAAAAAATGGCTCTTCATGTTTTTTTGGTTGCCGAGCCCTGGTATCGACGATTGCTGACGATGATGAACCCTTTTACACCCAGTTTGGAAAACCGATTTTCCATGCCGATCTGCCAATGTATTGCAATAATCAGATGCACTTTCTGCGGCTTATTATATGACTCCCGGGCATTTAGCAATGTATTAATTAAAATTGATTTGTGAGGTTCACGATCGTCATCATCATCATCAAGTCAAACATGCATCAAGTCCAACATCTTACAATCAATTATTGACAATGTATGAAAACAGTGTGCAAACTTGTTATCGTTGAATGGATCAGAAACGTGGACGATGGTGACAAAGAAAATGGAACAATCGCGGAAAGGTTTGCAAAGGAGCGTGAGAAGGGGGCATGCTCGTAGGATTATGCCAAGATAGAAAGGGGCCCACCGTGGGTCTGGGCAAAAAGACAAATCGGAGAGCGTTCATTTTGACTGTCAAGTTAAATATAAGTGGGGTTGGGCAGGACACATAACAGCAAACGTTGATGACGGCTGATGGACGAGACTGGTGACAGAATGGCAGCCAAAAGCAGAGGGCGGCATCGTGAGATCAGTTCTGGCGTAGGAGCGAGATGGCTCACTGGCACCGCGGGGACCGTGAAGGGGATGCCAACAGAGTGGGGAGGCCTTCATCCAGCGGCGTAATGACTAATAATGATGACGATTTGCGAATTTCAACTGTAATGTACCTTAGCATAGCGTGACAAACATAAACAATCGCCTGAAGATATGAGGCACACATCGCGAATGAGATAAAAACGACATCGATTCTTGAATCGAATCGGCATGGAATGGGTTAACCAACGACGAGCCCCCCGTGGGTTTGCCCATCGAGAGCTGCTGACCTCACGTTCATGATGTTGTGTTCCCGTGCGAGCTTCACCCCAACAGTTTCATTTTGTCCATTGCCAGATTGTCACGACTGTAGGCACGTGTGTGTATGTGTGCTAAACTTCTTTAGCACTGTACGTAGCCAACCGTGCTAATCAGAGGTGCGAGTGAAGCAAAACAGAGGCATTTAAACATACGTTGAGTTTAAAATCAATGCAATTTCTCCGCAGCAAAAAAAGGGTCAATCGTGTTTTGCCAGCTCCGATTCCGTAATCCATTTTAACCCGTGATTTATGGAGCTCGTTCTCAGAAAAGTATGCAGAATGGGTAACTTGTCAGCCACGAAATGATTAAAGCATCAGCATGAACAACATCTGTATAGGGGGAGCTGGCACTAAGTGCATTGGAAACTCCCCCAAGAAAGTTGTTGTAGTGTTGTGGTATTTGTTCATATTTCACTGGATGACAAGTCAGTTCCGAAAAAAAATGGGGGTTTCCACTTTTAAAAAAATCCACATTTTTACATCATGCGTCAGCAGTGACCAATCATAATTTGGAGAGAGAAAAAAAATCGATGTTATGTTTGAATACATTTAGCCACTATTTAATATCGATTTAGCCAGTAATTAATATCGATCAAGCCGGTATGTCATGTCAAATGGGACGTTAGACTTTAACCGGCCAGATGGCGCTGTGGTTAGAGTGCTTTGCTCACAACCATACGCTTTCAGGTTTGCATCAGGGTCATGTGCCACCTCAGCCCATCATCCTTAAAGGGTCAACAAAGTGAGTACTGCTGTGTGAGCAGTAATCAGTGGTTGCCCTCAGTGGAGCATGTCCCCTGCCGTAAGAATGTGGATCTTACTCTATTGGCTCAGTGTTTTCACTGAAGATGAGCACAGTTCAGAACACACATTTTAGATGAAATCATTTAAAATCAGTCTGGTAAAAATACTTTTGATTGAGATAAATGTCATTTGAAGATGCCCCTGCATCCGCAATCCGCAGAGATGGCTCACCCGGGGCTTGGCGAGCTCCTTCACGTGCCGGATCTCCTCGTCGGAGACGATGTCGTGGTAACGGACGATCCGGGGTCGGTCCCACTCGTCCTCCTCCATGAGCGGCGCGAGGACGAGCAGCGGGTGGCGCCGCCCGTCCCAGTAGCGGCACGAGAGGCGTCTCTGCCGGCGCGGGGTCTGCGGTGGGGGAAGGTACGGTCAAACAACTCCCGTGACCAACACGGTGTGGGAGAGGGGGGGCTCCATCCAGCAGTGGATTGGCAAAGGATTGTAAGTTATTATTATTATTACAAACAAGTCACATCTATGTGCCGACCAGAGGTCGCAAACGGGTTTTGATTCCTTGCCCATACCCGTACCCGGCCGCACCAGGGTCGCAAATGGTTACCCGTACCCGTTCTCTACTCGTACCCGTAACCTACCCGAAATGAGTGACAAACGGTTACTCACCAGTGACTCACGGACTACCCGTACCCATACCCGGCCGCACCAGGGTCGCAAACGGGTACCCGTACCCGTACCTGGCTGGGTACGGGTAGCCGGGTAGGGTACGGGTATCGGGGGGTACCCGGTTGCGACCTCTGGTGCCGACTGAATGTGTGCCAAGTTAACCTGAAATTGGAGTACATTTAGGAACCGCCGTGTGGCCTGGAAGCTACGGTCAGTGGAGAGCTCCATCAGAAGCAGAGGCGGGCATTTGTTGGCAGAAATGCAGTTCTGGGGTGAATGCCTGAGTTTTGCGAGTTTTGTGGATTTACTCTCCAACTCACCGGTGGGCTGAAATAGTAACTAACTGGCACGGTTGGCGTACGTGACAAACCTTACTGGCTGTGTCGGGTGGTGGAGGGTTACGACACATTTATACTTACACAATCTAACCCAAAAACCTTTAATATGAGTAAACAAATGTTGTCGCACTTTCATAACTCCAGATGTGTCTTCACGAGACTTTGCCCGCTCTGTTGCCGATTTTACAAGCCGTGTTGCTGTGGACCCGACACCGTGGGCCGACACGGACCTGGGGCGTTGGTGAGCGTTCGTGTCACGTTCTGCCGAGCAATGAAGGAGCGCATTGACAGCGTGCAAAGCACTCAGCCGCAAGGCAGCTTCCACTTCTCCCGTCGCCTTTGGGCAAACATCACCACCGCCCCACAGCCTGACACAGCTCGAGACATGAGCCCAGACAGTGTGGTGTTCATAAGTTGTAGAATCAAGACCCGTGGAGTAACAGTCAAACAACTCAATCCGCGTCGCAAATCCCTGCGGGCGACACTACACAGTGATAAATTCCCAAAAACTGAGGTGGCTGGGTGGCTCAGACGTCAGAGCGATGACCTGGCACCTCTGAGATCATGGATTCGCAATCCAGACAGCCGCCCTTGATTAAATCAAGCTCACGTGTGTAGCGAGTTGAGGATCTGTGAACATTGCATGAAGAGTGCACCAAGAAAACGTCACTAATAAATTTGGTTCTGCGCTAATTCTGGATAAATTTGAGCCCGAAGGAGTCAGAATTACTTTGATAGCTATCATGCCACCAACGCTTTGGAGCAGGGCAGCTAGGAACGTGCTGCCCCCTACTGGATGGCTCAGATGTCACTTGAAGGCATCTCAGATGTAGTCCTCGATATAATATCCACGTCTGCGGGCCATGAAACCAAAGAATGCTTTCTTCATCTTGGATAATTGATTCTCGGTCTCATGACATGACACCAATAGCAAATATTTAAATCGACAAAATCCCAAACCAATTCACTACTCGCATGCACCCATAAGCAGTGTTCTTCATTGCAAGGCCCGCGGGCCACTTGCGGCCCGTGTTGGCCTTTCGTGCGGCCCCTGACAATACACAAATGTGAAAAGAGCCCTTGCAGGCAGCGTGGCGGCCCTCACACTGACGATGTCTTATCGGCGAAAGTGCCCCCCCGCCGCCCACCTCTAAAAACTAGCGAAGGACACCGGCCTAAAGACAAGAAGCGGACCGATGACAGAGGCCGCAGCCGCAACCCTCCGGCGCGGGGCGGCGGGGGCCCTTCACGCGAGGCCTCGCGACCCCTACCATGAGGCCGCTGGCGCTGCGGCACAGCAGCTCGTACTCCTCCTTCTCCGAGAAGTAGCCGTCGCCCTTGGGGTGGCCCTCCACTCCGTCAGGGACCGTCGCGTTCTCCTCCTCGTCGTCGTCGTCGTCGGCAACTTCCCCTTCCGTCTCGTCATCTGCCGTCACCTCGTCCGCGGCCGCGGCCTGCGCCATCTCGTACTCGAAGAAGTGCAGGTTGGACTGCGCTCTTGGGTGGTCGGGGTCTGGGAGAAACGTCACGGCCACCGATGGCAAAACGGCGAGGAATGACACGCAAAATCCGGAGAGAACGTACAGCGCCATAAAAGTTGCAATGGGTAAAAAGTGATCACGTATGTTGAGGTGAGCGACGTTTATAATGGCGATGGGAGAGAATTATTGCAAAGTGGAGCAGTGCCCGGACAGATGCAAAAATAGTTGCAGCGTTGTGATCTGGCAGCGTGGTGGTTTGGACACGGAGTGGATGCGACGTGGGTGCGGTGAAACGGTCAGTCGGGAGATCGTTCTCCTCAACGCGCGTGAGTAATCACTCCTCCTCCAAGATGTCTGTCCAGTGTGTAAGAGTAGGCCAACGTTGCCCTCTGCAGGAGGCCTTTACGCCCAGTACCGGCATGAGAAGGTAATTCGCTGAAATCGTTCCTCATCGAGGTCCACAGTAACGGGACCTGGATGGATTCGGTTCGCGAGTTGAAAATTCGGTTTTACACCCATGGGCAACCTCCGGGTAAGCGGCGATGGGAATGTCGCTGCATTTGACCCCAGAAACTACCGGCTGTGACCTCTCACGGCGCCCGTGCAGCCAGATTAACAGATGCAGGTGCGATGCACTCCCCTGTGCCATCCAGTACAGGAGGATGCACTTTCCATGCTGAATATGTGGAGGTAAGCCTATGGGTTTCTGGGTGAGTCTGTGGGTCACTTGGAGAAGTCTATTGGTCGCTGTGTGAATCTATGGGAGCCTGTGAGTCTTCTTGTGAGTATGTGGGTAACTGTGTGAGGCTATGGGTGTTTGTGTGAGTCTATAGGTCTCTCTGTGAGGCTGTGAGTCTCAACATGAATCTGTGGATCTCTGTGTGAGCCTGTGGGTCTCCTTGTGAGTCTGTGGGTACTGTGTGGGGCTATGGGTGTCTGTGTGAGTCTATGGGTTTCTCTGCGAGTCTGTGAGTCTCAAAGTGAACTTGTGGATCTCTGTGTGAGCCTGTGAGTCTCCTCGTGAGTCTGTGGGTAACTGTGTGGGCCTATGGGTGTCTGTGTGAGTCTATGGGTTTCTCTGTGAGACTGTGAGTCTCAACGTGAATCTGTGGATCTCTGTGTGAGCCTGTGGGTCTCCTTGTGAGTCTGTGGGTAACTGTGTGGGCCTATGGGTGTCTGTGTGAGTCTATGGGTTTCTCTGTGAGGCTGTGAGTCTCAACATGAATCTGTGGATCTCTGTGTGAGCCTGCGAGTCTCCTTGTGAGTCTGTGGGTAACTGTGTGGGCCTGTGGGTGTCTGTGTGAGTCTATGGGTTTCTCTGTGAGGCTGTGAGTCTCAACATGAATCTGTGGATCTCTGTGTGAGCCTGTGGGTCTCGTTGTGAGTCTGTGGGTAACTGTGTGGGCCTGCGAGTCTCCTTGTGAGTCTGTGGGTAACTGTGTGAGGCTGTGAGTCTCAACATGAATCTGTAGATCTCTGTGTGAGCCTGTGGATCTCCTTGTCAGTCTGTGGGTAACTGTGTGAGGCTGTGAGTCTCAACGTGAATCTGTGGATCTCTATGTGAGCCTGCGAGTCTCCTTGTGAGTCTGTGGGTAACTGTGTGGGTCTATGGGTGTCTGTGTGAGTCTATGGGTTTCTCTGTGAGGCTGTGAGTCTCAACATGAATCTGTGGATCTCTGTGTGAGCCTGCGAGTCTCCTTGTGAGTCTGTGGGTAACTGTGTGAAACTGCTGTGGGTGTCTCCGTGCGAGTATATGGGCCTCTCGGGAGTCGCCGCGCAAGGGGTTGCGTCGCCACGGACGCCAGGGCTTGCGTACCGAGCGCGGCGAGCCTCCGCGTGAGGTTCAGCGCTCTCTGCACGTCGCCGAGCTGGTACACGGAGTAGCTCAGGTAGTCGAGGACGTCCGAAGCTACCACCGTGCCCTCGTCCCCCACTCCCTCCCGGGCCCCGGCGTCCAGCTGCCTCAGGGCGTGGCTCAGCCACGGCTCGGCGCGGGCGTAGCGGCCCTCCGAGTAGGCGAGGCGGCCCAGCGAGAAGCAGTCGTCGGCGGAGAGAGCGGAGGCCGACAAAATCGGGACGCCTGCGGCAGGAGAGACCGGGATGGGTGGCCGACGATGACTGCAATGACCCACCACAGCGCGGCGATGTCGATAGGATATCGTATAGCACGATGAGACGACATTAATGAGACTGCATGTTAACTCTCTCGCCGTGGTAGGCAGGAGGTCGTGTGTTCTATCCCGACCCTGGATTTTTCTTCGGGTTCTTCCGGTTTTTCTCTCCACATATAGAAATATGCATTTCGAGTATTTGGCTGCTATTCATGTCCACGTGATAAGCCACTTCGTCGAGCTATCATTAGTGGCCAAGTTGGTTTTGCAAAAGAACTGTACAGCTCAGTGGGCCTTAGCTGGTAAAATAAAAACATTGTTTCATAGAAAAAAAAATTGTTTAGTTTAGAATTAAGCAGTCATAGATTACTAAGCAACGTTATCAGAGACTGCAGTCAGACAAATTTCAAAAAAGTGAATTGGTTTTTACATGTATATGTGTAATGAGTGAACCGAGTTAACTCATTGGCTTACCTGATAAGTTTGGTCGTGAGGGAAAATTACACGCCCCTTAGAACAACATTTAAAAACTAGAAATAAACACGAGCGTCGCTGTGGAGGATACCTACAACAAAGCAGAGCTTTAAACAAAAAGATTAAATCATGAGACCTCCTTTGCCAGTACCAAAATATGATAATAGGTTTTTCCCATTTTTTCTGGCAACAAAACAGGTGTTAAGATGTTAAAACACCAAACTGTTGCCAGAAAAAAGGGGAAAACTCTATTATCATATTTTGGTACTGGCAAAGGAGATCCCATGATGTAGATGCTCACCCAAGCTCTCATTACTCTGATAGTGCTTTGTCTTTGTGCTGTACGCCTTTTGGCGTCCTCTGGTCTAACACCGATTGAGACGAGGCTCAAAAGAAAGATGTCTCTGGTGTGGACCAATCAGTTTCAAGGGCAATGCATACATTTTCAGAGTATGTTTTTTGTTTGCATTCTGACCACAAGCATTGTGGTTAATGCAGACATGATTCCTTGTAAAAGGTTTCAGTTTGGTGTTTTAACATCTTAACACAGCTGTTTTGTTGCCAGAAAAAAGGGGAAAACCCTATTATCAAAAAGAGTAAATCTTACACAACCCTCCGTCGGCCCACAGCCTTCTAGGAGTGCATCATTTCAGCAGCGTCAAGTACAAGCACACACGCAGCGTCTCAATGAATGCTGGTGAACTGCCAGGTTGCACATACCTGCCAACCCCTTATCAGTGCCCTACCTCATTACAGATCAACTCAGACTTTATTGGTCACCATGTGCCCTTATACATCTCAACGTTCATCCGAAAAAGTCCCATCACAAGGGAAAAACACAAACAAATAGACAAAAAAATGTGTCCGTATTGAAACGGCTGTACGCCGTTTAGACCTGAAAACTCAATTTCCCTGTACAAGAATACGGGGTAAACCGTGTGGGTTGACAGGTTTGGGTGCCATGGGTAAAGACTCTCAGAGAGTCCTTCTCTGGATTCAGTCTACAAAATAATAAAATAATAAAAATAAAACATAATAAAATTATTTTCACGACGTTTCAGCCACAACGCAAGCAGCCGTCCTCAGGTGAAGACCAGGTCTGTCAGGGAGACAGTGTCTTCACCTGAGGACGGCTGCTTGCGTTGTGGCCGAAACGTCGTGAGAATTATTTTATTATGTTTTATTTTTATTATTGTATTACTTCCCTTCTACGTGACTTTACCGAACGAACCAAGAAGATGAATCCCTGCAGTCACGAAAGCTTTAAATCGAAATTTTTGGGCAACACTTTGATAAAAATTTTTATCAGTTTTTAAAAGGATAACGCAACTTTCCACTAAAGTATCATTGTTATCGGATTATATCACTACAAGAGTTGTAGTGCCCCCCCCCCCCACCAAGTTATGGACGGACAATCACAGCTCACGCATGAACACTTTAAAGCTTAGGTGGGTAGAAAGCGTTATAAAACGCACACAGCCTAGCTAGGCTCTTCCTTCTGATATTAGGAAGCCACTGGAGCTATGGAATTTCCAATCCAGACTGAAAACTAATTTCTTTAGAATAAATTTTAGTTTTTAGTTTGTTTTCTTCCCCCCCCCCCCCTGCACCTCCGATTAACGCGGTTGGCTATGTACTGTGCGCGAAAGAAGTTCAACATACAACGTACACAGTTCGGCATCTGCACGAGCTCTTTGTGTGCTGGGTCTTCGTCTTCTCTGAACAGGACACATTCCGGTGCCGGGCGCAGCTGCGGTCGGAGCGACCAGACTCACCGGGCAGTTTCCCCGAGGCCAGCAGCACGGCGTCGAGTGCGTAGGTCTCCTGCAGGCGCAGCAGCGCACGCGCCGCCCCGACACGGTCCTCCTCACTCGGGAAGAGCGCCCTCCGCTCGGCCAGCCGCAACACGAAGCCTGCACGATGAGGCACGGTGGCACACAGCACGGTCAACTGCACCGCACAGCACGGTCAAGCACACAGCAGGGTCAACTACACGGCACGTCAATCACACCACATATCACGGTCAACCACACGGTCATCCAGACCACACAGTCAACCACACTGCTCGGTCAACCACACCACACAGCACGGTCAACCACACTGCACGTCAACCACACTGCACGTCAACCACACAGCACAGTCAACCACACTGCACGGTCAACCACACTGCACGGTCATCCAGACCACACCGCACAGTCAACCACACACCGCACAGTAGAAGCTCACCACAGCAAGTTCTGGCAGCGCTCTACTGACCGTTACCAAGCTGCCACGATGTGTCACCGTCTCCACACGAGCTCGCTATCACAATTAGAACATCACTGGTGATAGTAATAATATAAAATCCTCACAATATAAATAATAATTTTTATTTCCAGGAAATCCTTGCCAAGTCCTGCGTAGAGATGCAGGACTAAGCAAGTCCGTTTTGAGAAGCATTCTGCATAGAGCAGTAAACGGGAAGAAAAAAAACTAAAACCCACTCTTACAAGGGGCGACGCTCAAAACTCTGCAAAGATAGATTCAAGAATCTACTGCCGTACTGCCCTCTCCTGTCCACCTTGCACGCCATGCCGACACACACCTGGCATTCCCAGACAGCGTCCCATTCAAGCACCAAACGAGGCTCATGCCTGCGCTTGAGCCTCGTTTGCTACTCGCCGAGCTTCCGAGATCTGACGAGATCGGGCCCAACGTTGGCAAGTCAGGCGCTCGAACGGCTATCGCAAACCAGCTCGAGGCAGAGCCCCGTCTCCTTGCCCAGGGACATCCTCCGGTACCTTCTGCTGACTCCTGCAGGAAGTTCTCGAGCGCCGCCCAGCGCTGCCCCATGCGCATGGTGTGGTAGGCGTTGATGGGATTGCCCAAGAAGCCCTCGGGGTCCGAAGTGGCGACGTATGATTCCGCATCTTTCATTTCCTTCCACCTGCAAGGCACGCGGGACCAACGCGCTGCGGTTTGGCCGCTCGTGCCACCGCTCGCGGAAGAAGTCTCCAACAGAACGAGCTCCAGATAGCCGCTCAAGAGGGAGTTTGGCCTACTCTTCCACGCCTGTCCACCTTCGATTAGCACGGTGCGAAATAAGTTCAACAAACGTACCCACATTGGAAGACGCGGCAGTAGCCGTGTTTTACCGCACCACCTGCCGATCGACTGTGCTGCACACGTTTGAACTGCTGGGTGGATAGAGGCTGGCTGGGGTGGGGATTTAACTCGCACCATTGTTCCTACTGCCTCTCTTTGACAGTGCTGGGGCATCTCATATGCTCTCCCAGTGGTCGTGTAGATTTTTCTCCAGGTCCTCCGGTTTGTCCCTGCACATTTATAATCAACACCACGCGTTCAGAGCATTTGGCTGCTATAAATGTCCACGTGATCAGTCATTTCTCGTTGAGCTGTCATTTTGTGGCAAAGTCGCTTCTGAAAAAGAGCTGTATAGCTCAGTGAGCCTTACCTGGTAAATTAAAAACTAGTTTAGTTTAGCTTTTAGCTATGGGTTAAGAAACAAATGACTAGTTAAATTTCGATTTAAAGCTTTCGTGACTGCAGGGATTCATCTTCTTGGTTCTTTCGGTAAAGTCACCTGAGGACGGCTGCTTGCGTTGTGGCCGAAACGCCGTGAGAATTATTTTATTATGTTTTATTGTTATTATTTTATTATTTTATTATTTCCCTTCTACGTGACTTACCGAAAGAACCAAGAAGAGAAATGACTAGTTTCTAAAAATGTTGTCCCCGTTAGGGAATAACACCTTGCTGCCGCCAGCGTCGTCAACTTCAGTGCAGAATTTTTAAACCACCTCTCCACCGCCACCTCCCTTCCCTTTTATCCCCCGGCTGTGCGTACATATGTTGAACCTCTTTCGCACCGTACGTACGGTGTGGAGGGATGGACAACAAACTGACCCGCAAAAAAAACTGAGAAAGGGACACATTGGAATACTGTCGGTAACATGGGTCCAGAGGGAAGAATACATGTATGCGAACTTCTTAGGTTTTTTCGGTAAAGTTACGTAGGTAAAACATTACAATTAATAAAAGTAAAATTTAAATAAAATAAAAATCACGACGTTTCGGAAGCAACACAAGCTTCCGTCTTCAGGTGGAACAGTCGCAGCACGATAGCTGTATCAAGTTAGAGAAATTATAGGAAAACCGTATTTTTATATATACTGGTTGAGGGTGGGAGGAGCCAAGGTAGGCCCTGAATATTATTTTTGTGAGGTTCGGTGCGGCTGAAACACGCGGAAGCTTGTGTTGCTTCCGAAACGTCGTGATTTTATTTTTATTTAACTTTTATTAATTTTAATTTTTTTACCTACGTGACTTTACCGAAAAAACCTAAGAATATGAATCCTTGCAGTCACGAAAGCTTCAAATCTAGAATGCATGCGAACGTTTGCTTATTCCGTTGCTCGGGAGGGGCGGGTGGGTGGGGGCGAGTAAAACACGATAATGAACCCTTCACAAACACGTACCGCTTCACTCTCTGCAGCCGCAGTTCTTGCTCGGCGATGTGCTTTTCGAGCGAACTGAGTAGCTCTTGCTCCACGTACAGCAGGTCGGTCATGTGCCCTGTACACAGCGAGGCGGAGCTCGCGGTCAAAGTCTCGACGAATCCATTTCAAGGCCAATGCGCATATATCAGGGGTCGGGAACCTTTTTGACTGGGAGAGCCATAAAAGCCAAATATTTCTAAATATATTTCATTGAGACCCATATAGTATTTTTTACGTATAATAAATTAAATATGTCTTACTTTTAATGCGACTTCTGGTCACGGGACCCGTGACCCGTGAAATGTATCTTCAAAACTAATTTCTGTTTACTTTAAAATGACACAGCATTATTAAGCAATATCACAAGTATTTTAAAATCAGTTCCAAACTGCTTTTTTTTTCAACTCAAAATTGTCTGGGAGCCATATGCCGTCACCGGAAGAGCCATATATGGCTCGCGAGCCATAGGTTCCCGACCGCTGGCATATATCGTCAGTGCATGTTTGCTTGCATGTTTGCCACAAGTACGTGGGGGTTAATGCAGAATTGATGCCTTGCAATAGGAGTGTCTATTTGGTGGTTTGAACATCTTGACACCTGTTTTAGTGCCAGAAAGGGGTTAAGGCTATTCTTATTTTATTCATCACCCTGAAGAACCGTCATTGGAGGATTATCCGCAGGATTGTGGAGCATTTTGGGCCGCTATCGGAATTTTAAGAACACGTGGTGTGTTTATGAAGAATCGAATGATGGCTGGCAAGGCCCTCAGTGAAAAAGGTTGCCACCTGTCTGGATTTGACCCAAACAAGTCCGCGATTTGGCACGTGTTCAGGTGGCAGGATTTGACAGGAAATGACTGACCGAGGCGGACTGAAAAATAAGTCGAGGTTTATGGGACCTTTTTGCCAGTATCCAAAATGATGAAAGATCAGAGTAGGTTTTAACGTGTTTGCATATTTTGCCACGAGTATGTGTGGTTTATGCAAACATAACTTTCAAGAGGTTTCTAATTGGTGTTTGAGCATCTTACCACCTGTTTTATTGCCAGAAAGGGTAAAACCTATTCTTAAGTCTACTTTTGTTCTACAGTGAAAAAGGTGCCAACCCTAAACACCACGTGTGGAGAAACTGTTGAACGTGTGAAAAGCAGTCATGATGAGCAGTCCCCAGGAAATCGACTCAAAGGCCTTCTTCACTGGAATCGGGTTATCCTCATAGCACAGTGCACGCAAATTGGGTGAGAAAGTACCCTCATTGCATGCAACAGGTATTGGTCACGTAGGGGACGTGGGCTAAAACGTAATGGAAGAAGTGTTTGAAATAATCGCAACCGAGATGCCGGCGAACACCTGGGACTCCCGAATCCCTGTAACGACGAGCGTCGCCAAAGCACTGGCGGACACGTGGAGGTTTCGAGGAAAGAAGCGTGCAAGATGGCATGTTGATACTGCCCAGTACTGTATGTGTGTGCGTGCGTGTTAGCATGTGGAGGTTTTTGTGGGGAGCGGTGGTGTCGTGGTTAGCGCTATGCTGCGCTACCAAGCCGGTTGACCCGAGTTCGATTCCCGCTCACGGCCAACAGTCGGTGACGATTATCTCAATCGCTTCTGGGCCTCCCCTAGGTCGACTCAGCCTCAAATTAGTACCTGGTGCGGTGTGTAAACATCGCCACAGGGGAGACAAAGACGGCCCGGCGTGGTGTTGGCCACCCACCCCCTCCATGTGCCGTGCCGGCCTTCATAGGTGCTACTCGCTAACAGCACTTGCCCCAACAGTCTGTTCAGGCTATAGGGGGGATCTTTGTCTTTGGAGGTTTGGAGGAAAGACGCGTGTAAGATGGCATGTTGACACCGTCCAGTAAGCGTGTGCGTGCGTGTAGTTTTACTGAGCCAACACAAAACGGCTGCCTAATTGCAAATCCTAAAAGGCGTACTATGCCTCGTTGGGACACCCTGTATATTTAGCTGGACAATGTATCGAGGCTCGAGCTTACGAGCACCATTTGTTTCCGCAACGTAAGTGCCAGCGGGCTAGGGCGCTGTTCCTCACTCTGCTTATTCGCCCCCCGACCCCGCGGGGTCTCGGGCAGATCACAACGCACACAACGCTTTGCCGCGGGGAGTTTTGACGTTTTGATGATTCTGAATAAGTTAAGTAATACACATACACCACATACAAAATGTAAGGATGCTGCCGTGCATTTTTCGCATGAAGTGCATTCTGCGCCAAGCACGTGTGGCGACGATGGCCAATTCGGTGGCGCGGAACAACGGTGAGAGGGCCCCCCCCCCCCGGCCCTCTCGCTTGCTCAATCGAAATCACCATCTTTAAAATCGAATGCGTGTCGGAGGTCACAGCGGCTTGTATGTATGTATGTTGAACTTGTTTTGCACCGTACAGAGCCAATCGTGCTAAGTGGAGGTGTGGGCGAAGGACAACAAACTAAACACAAGAAGCAGTTCGAAAGAGATGAGTTTTCAATCCTGATTTAAAAGTGCATCGCTCCCAATGGCTTTCTAATATCAGAAGGAAGAGTGTTCCAGACAGCCGCAGAAGCGTATCTGAAAATGCACGATGCAGAGTTCAATGGTAAGGCAAAAGCCGCTGCTGCTAGGATGACCAGAGCCTGTGTCATGGTTTATGCTACTTGACAAACGAGATCAGCGAGGTATTGCGGTTAATTTGCAGCGAGCACTTTGTGTGTAATGAGTGCGACCTTTTAATGTCTGAAAGGCAACGCAAGGGTGGGCGCTAGAGGAAGCAGCGGCGTGCCGTGGACGCGGGGTCAGGCAAGCGGTTTATCTCCGTCTCAAGTTTTACGGACAACAAACAGAATCAGAAGCTTTATTTATCCTGGGGAAATGGGATGAGCTATGAAGATCTTTTTCACAGCTGTCCAGTAGGGACGGGTCAGAAAGTTACAACAACAAACAGGCCCACGCAGCCTCCTGGGAGAACAGGGTTTGGAGATGGCCCAGCAGCACCCATGCTGCATTAAACATGGCGGCCTACAGCTGCTGATGGTTGCCACGGGGTTCAGGGGTCAGAGTGCTGGGGCTAGAACCGCAGAGATTTTTCGGTCCGAATCTGGGCAGGCACCCACGATTATAAACCGGGTTGCCACGTGTAGGGAGTTGATGGCCTCAGTGTAGTCACTAATGACTGCACACACAGAAGTGGAAGATGGCAGCCTTCATAAGGCCGCACTTTTGTCAAGTGAGAAATCGCGACGAATGCCATCAACGCGGCGACCGAATCATCAATCGTCAATCTCTCGGTCTACAGAGCAACAATACAAGCCACGCGGAATTGCAGTTATATCACGGGACCTTTTTGGCAGTATGAAAGTATGAAAAAAGAATACATATTCTTTGGTTCTTTCGATGAAGTCACGTAGGTAGAGAAAATATAATAGATCACGGCGTTTCGATCGTAACAACAAGCAACCGTCATCAGGTGTGAAACAAACAGCAGGAGGACTGCTCCGACGTAGGAGTTCCTACATCAGCAGTCCTTCTGCTGTGTTTGACTTTACCGAAAGAACCAAAGAGTATGGATTCCTGCAGTCACGAAAGCTTCAAATCAAGATTGAAATAAGAAAAGGTTTGACCCTTTCTGGCAATAAAACAGGAGGTGTTAAGATGTTCAAACACCAAATAAAAACCTTTTTGCAAGGAATCAAGTCTGCATTAACCACACACAGGACTTGTGGTGGACATGCAAACAAACATGGTCTGATAATAGATGGGCATTGTCTTTGCGACTGATTGGCCTACACCAGAGACAGCCTTCTTTACGGCCTAGTCTCACCAGTGTCAGACTAGAGAAAGCCAAAAGGCAAACAGTACAAAGACCATGCACGTATCAGAGCATTTATAGCTCGGGGTGACCAGCTATATCATGGGACTTTTTGGCAATATCAAAGTACGAGAAAAAAGGAATAAGTTTTATACATGTTTGGCAATAAAAAGGCGGCGGTTGCAGGATATTACAAGAGTAAAAAAACGTAAATTATTTACATAATGTACTGCGAACACAATACAAATGGAAAACAGCGTAAAAAAACATCCTGTCACAGACGTGTGTGTGTGTGTGTACAGCCTCGGACGTCACGGACCTCGGTCACCCTTTCGCAATTGTGGCCGAGGTACATCCTGCAAGCGTGGCCTGAACACGCGTGGCGAGAGAATGTGAAGTGGGCACACCAAGGCCGGATCTCACCGATGGACGTGAACACCTCGGCCGTGCCGTGCTGCATCACCAACGCGGCCAACAGAAGCCATTTGAGGAGAGCGCCGCTGGCCGTCATGATGGGGCCCAACCCCTGTCCCGCGCAGGAAACAGTGCGAGTGACACACTCCGATTAGCTCATTTTCAAATCGTCGCGGGCCACCACCGCAGCCGTTATCACCGTCATTGGAGTCACCATCTGCACCTCCGATTAGCACGTGTGGCTACGTACGGAGCAAAAGAAGTCCAACATACATATATTGTCTAGTCACTGCTGAATTCTCTATCCACTATGTCGCCATGCTGATGCCATCCCTCACAGTCCCAGTGCTGCTAACCATCACCATCATCATCATCGCTGTAATCATCAAAAGGTCAAAGTGTGGGAAATGTCAGAATTTTCACGACTACGGTCTCCTTGCTGCGGTTGTGAATGTCTCCGTTTTTTAAATGAAAGGCTGGGCCGCCCCACCGCGTTGTCACGAGGTCTACCTGCCCAAACCAGCTCGGGGTGACATTCACCTTGATTGGTGGCCTCGTGGAAATTCGACTTTACTTTGGTGGAGACCACAGCCCTGGGGGACGGGCGTCTACATAGAAACGCAGCGGTAATGTTGGCTGAAGTTGCATTGACACTCTCACGTTGCGAACGCAATTCATTAGGAATGACACAGTTCCAAGGATCGTCCAAATGCAATTTGCCCCACCCTGGTCGACAAATCCCTTCATGGTCTTTCCCCACCGTATCTTGCCACGCTTGTATCTTCCTGCGTCGCCTTCTCGCCCTCTACGTTCTTAATCTTTGCCGTCTCTCTCTCTCTCTGTACCTCCTCTTCCTTGTGCTCAATCCACGCTGTCGCTCTTTTTCTCTTCTTGCCCCTCGTTCGCCGGAACAAACTTCCCCTCCACAATAAACAGTCAACTTCGCTCACAGGTTTCCGCTCCGCACTCAAAACTCACTTCTATTCCCCAGAGCACTGCACGACCCCTTAATCTCTCTCTCATAACCGCCACCGTTAGTTTTCCCTCCTCATATTCTCATTACACGGCTTTCAATCATTAACCCCATTAATTAAATCCATTCGTCGTCATTTACTGCCATCATTTTCGCTTTCACCGAATTCGCACATCACAGATTTGCCCCAATTGCTCCCTCTCATCTATTTCATTCAGCTCATCTCCACCATTGTTAAGTCTGTGTAAAGTGCCTCGAATAAGGCGCTATATAAATCATTTTTACATAACATAAGATGACCAGTCTCTCCCATAGGACAACCACTGTTGACTTCCTGCAGAGCGGTATTTATTTTATCGCCCCCCCCCAGAAGGATGATGATTGGGCCGAGCCAATCTCAGACCGGGATTTGTGCTCAAGTCCCTTGAGAAACGCGAGGCGGGCACCCGTTCAAAGCGGAATCCTCGTGCAGGCGTTTGTCATTGCGATCACGTGCTGCTCATGGCTGCCGCTTGGCAATTTCCACTATGTGCGTTGAACTTCTTTCGCTCCGTATGAAGCCGACCGTTCTGGTCGGAGGTGCGGGGGGAAGGACAACAAGCTAGGGCTCTCTGTGTGAGTCTATGGGTCTCTGTGTGAGTCTATGTACGTATGTTGAACTTCGTTCGCACCGTACGAAGCCAACCGTGCTGATCGGAGGTGCGGTGGGAAGGACAACAAACTAGGGCTCTCTGTGTGAGTCTATGGGTCTCTGTGTGAGTCTATGTACGTATGTTGAACTTCTTTCGCACCGTACGTGTCGCTAAACCCACCACCACCCGACACAGCATACCAGTGAGTTGGAGAGTAAACCCACAACATCGACAATTTTAGATGGGTTTACTCTCCAACACACCAGTGTGCTGAGCTAGTAACGAAGTGGCATGTTTTGTTTACGTGACAAACCTTACTTTATTGGCTGTGTCGGGTGGTGGCAGGTTTAACGACACATTTAAATTTACGCGATCTCACACAAAAACCTCTATTATGGACAATATTGGTCACTAAAACCGACTACGTGTAAAACTGACCGAGAGAAGCCAGTGAAGTTCCACCACCTCCTGCAGGCGATGTCATGATGCCCTACCAAAAGCGCCTTTTCAGTTCGCCCAACGCTGACTTTAACGTCTCAACGGCAAGAGACGGACTTCGTCATCTTCATTACTGAGTTAGTGGATCACACAAATATGGAAACTCCCTCGCTGCCCGTGCCTGTCGAGGTCACTGTCTCCTGGCACACAGCCAGGGTGTGATGGCAACACAGCAAGCGGGTTAACATCCATTCGTACGGTGATCGAGTGTCACCTCTGCGCCTCGCAAGCGTGGGTTTTCTCCAGGCACTCCAGTTTCTCACCGCAATATATCAACACTAAATTAACCCTGTCCCATTCAGAGACGTGTGCAAGTTGCAGGGATGGTGTCCCGTTCACCGGCCCAATCTCGGATCGCGCGAGCGGTTCGGCGTTGATTTTATTTAGAGGGGCGTCGCGCCGATGTTTTTCAAAGATGTGGTGCTGCGCTCATCGCAGCGAACCAGGCGACACGACCGCACGCGACAATCGCTGGCGCCAAACTGTGCCACATGCCCTGCCGCGTGGCCTTGTATTTCCGATTCGATTCCGTTCAATTCCGTTCGGAATCGAATCGGAAGAACCGACGACGTACACGTACGTCATCGGAATGGGAAAGGGTTAATAGAGATGGCCAAATATCCCAATACACGACCACAGAGTTTGGTAAATTGTTGGCACCGGTGCTGGCAGCCTTCCCTGCTTGTGGTTTGCAGATGCCTCGATGTGAAAATAATATGAATACATACAATCATATTTAAACAATACCATAAATAAAACGTTACCTTTTTCCTGATAAAAAAAAGTCACGTGTATTTTATTCATGGGTCCCTCTAAAAAGTTTTTCGACCCTGCACACATGTCCCATTTACACCCCCCCCCGACCCAATCGGGCCTTGCCAAGACAGCTGCCTTTTCAAACGAGCAGCAGACAACCACCCTTCCCCAAGGGTGGCACAGTCGGGTTTTTTACAATCGGGTTTAATTGTATTTTTATATTAAACCCGATCATCTGAGATTGGAAGAAATCCGGTTTAATTGGTTCTAATTGCAGAACCGCACTTCTCAACGATGGGCTTCATCCATTCCAAGCGAAGGAACTCACTGGCACCCACGATTGTGGAGGAGAAGCTCCTCGTGTTCATCAAGACCAACCTGCCCGCCGCATTCTACGACTACCCCGTGCCCGACGGCCCCCCCGAGTACGATAGCAGCACCGACGAGGAAGCAGCCTAAGCCTATCAGAGTTTCGTATTCATTAAACCAGGTTTTAATTCCCTGAAATCGGGTTTAATTGTATTAAAGAAAAAACACGATGCCTGCCGCTGGAAAAATCGGGTTTTTTCCACCCATGTCCTCCCCCCGCTCCACCTTCTCACTTCTCCCCTTCCACATTCCTCCAGCTCTGTGAACCCAGAACTAAACGAAACCCCCGGGGCCTCCCTCCGCCTCCTCCTCGATTCACGACGACGACGACGGCAGCGGTGTCACACGCCTCTCCACAAGCCCAAGGCCACATTCCTTCCGTGGCGTATTTCTCTGTCTCCACTGCGGAACGTGAACGGGCAGGTGAGGGGGAGCTGAGGGGAGCAGCTCGCAGGAGAGAGGTGAGATGGCGGGCAGGGTCACAGAGCGATCATTGAGAGGTCGAGGCACGGGACTGATCGAGACGTACCACCACCACCAACAACAACCGCCCCAATTCGCCACTAAGTGGCGGTGACCTCACCACGACGCTTGTGCCAGGCCATGTGCACGTTGAGGCCACGTGAAGTGTCGAACGCCCGCTGGCAGGAGGTCACGGGGCAAACCCAAGTGCCATGGGTCGACTGACTGAGATGACCGAGACGAGTGGCTGATGCACCTCCTGTGCTCCCCTACTGTGCCAACCTTTTGTCGATCCGCTGCTGGATGAAAGCCTCCGCAACCCACGCCGTGCCAGCAATGGAAGTTGCTTGATCACGAGTGGGTTGGTGGCTGGAATCGAACTCAGGTCGATGGTTTCATAGTGCAGTGCATTAACCTGAGGTGTGGACTCGAGTCATGTGACTTGGACTCGAGTCAGACTCGAGTCATGAATTTGATGACTTCAGACTCGACTTGGACTTGCATAACAATGACTTTGTCCCACCTCTGAGGTGTGGACTCGAGTCATGTGACTTGGACTCGAGTCAGACTCGAGTCATGAATTTGATGACTTCAGACTCGACTTGGACTTGCATAACAATGACTTTGTCCCACCTCTGAGGTGTGGACTCGAGTCATGTGACTTGGACTCGAGTCAGACTCGAGTCATGAATTTGATGACTTCAGACTCGACTTGGACTTGCATAACAATGACTTTGTCCCACCTCTGAGGTGTGGACTCGAGTCATGTGACTTGGACTCGAGTCAGACTCGAGTCATGAATTTGATGACTTCAGACTCGACTTGGACTTGCATAACAATGACTTTGTCCCACCTCTGGCATTAACCACTGCATTGCCGCTCCACCCACCAAAAACATGCGCAGTGCATCGATGTAATGTTTCAATGCATTATAATCGTTAACCTAAGAAAGTCTCGCGAAGTTTCAAGATTAAAGATGATCCTCCATTGGGATGTTTAATGAGTGCGAGCGCGTGTTGTTGTACGTGGGAGGAAACACGAGCGCACGGAGACAACTCAAGGGTTATACCAGTGACTAACACTCGAGGAATGCACACGTGGGTCCGTGAACCCGCTGGTTGAATGTACTGCCATCTCCCCGAGCCTCAAATCCCAGCAGACTTGGAGATCTCGACAACAATCGAAACCATCCACCGACTCCTGTGCCTCCCAACTGCTGCCACGTGCTGCCAAGTCAAAGCGTCGAGTTTCTCGCTGCGTGAAACTCGCACGAGAGATGCCTCCGAATATTTTAGAGTCAGAATATTTAAATTTCGATTTAAAGCTTTCGTGACTGCAGGGGATTCATCTTCTTGGTTCTTTCGGTAAAGTCACGTAGAAGGGAAATAATAAAATAATAAGAATAAAACAATAAAATAATTC